AGTTGGAGTCACAGTAGAAGATGCAGATAACAGGGCAATATGGAAATCTATGATTCATTGTGGCAACCCCTGAAAAAAAGGGACAAAGCCGAAAGAAAAAGAAGAAGAAAAAAAGTTTGATCAGATGCTGAAAAATTGATGAAAATCTTTGAAAAAACATTTTAGAAATATTATCTTTTCTGCATGTTCATCATCAAAAAATAGCATTTTAAATTTTTTTTAGAAAAACATTTTTTAGAAAGTTTTTTGGCATGTTGAAAAATTTGATGAAAATCTTTGAAACAATGTTTTTCAAAATTAAATTCAAAGTTATCTTTTCTGCATGTTCCTCATCAAAATATTGCGTTTTGAAAAATATTTTTATAAAAACATTATTTTGAACATTTTTAGAAAAGAATTTGGTCAGATGCTGAAAAAAAATTGATGAAAATCTTTGAAAAACAATTTTCAAAATCTTATCTTTTCTGCAAGTTACTCATCAAAATATAGCGATTTGAAAAAAAATTTAGAAAAACATTTTTCTGAAAAATGTTTAGAAAATTTTTTTTTGATCAGATGTTGGAAAATTTTGATGCAATTCTCTGAAAAACAATTTTCAAAATTTTCACCATACATTTTTACCACCTGACCAACATGAAAATAGGATTTTTCCAAAAAATTCCCAAAACATTTTTTTTTCTAAAAAAATGCTCTTATTTGATGAGAAACATACATTTTTGAGAAATGCTTTAATTCAACGTGAAACATGCAGAAGTGACACATTTTAAAATAAATTTTGCCAAAAAATTCATCATTCTTTTTCAAAATCTGACTAAAGATTTCATGCTAAATAACGATTTAGAAAAGACACAATTTTGAAAAACGTTTTGTCAGAAGTTTTCATCATAATTTTTCACTAAGTGACCCAAAAGGACATGCTAATTTAGGATTATTATAATGATCTACTTTAGCTCGAGATTCAGACACAGTAGAACTGTGACACCCTGTGGCTACTGACAGAATTGCAACCAAATATTAACTAAACTAAAGAAGCCTCTTGGGTGAGAGGTGAAACGTCTTCTTTTAGAAAATGAACGTCCAGTTGCCTAACAGAACTCTTCAGTCTTAACGAAATATAAAGGATTTTTTTTGTTGGTAGACATTTATGGCAGGTCGTGCACGAAGAACCCAAATGATCATGTCAGATATTTGCCCATCTGGTGTAAACACCACAAAATTAACAAAATTGACTGAATTCTTACCTAAATTACCAAAAACGTAAGCCGTGACGTACAGCTCTTGTCTGAGTAAAGGCATAAAGACATTTTATTAAAATGATCTGGGATTCTGGTGATGGTATGTTAGAAATTGATTAACATAATAGAAATTTAAAAAATTCATTACGTTATTTTACAATATTAAGGAAGAATGTGTGCCTTTCTGGCTTTATTTACATTAGACAATAACTTACTCAGAATTTACTTTAAACAACATCCAGGTCAGGAGAAACTGATTATATGTTGTCCAATATTATACTTGAAATTCAAGGTAAGAAACTACTTCTTTGGTAAGAAACTAGTTGAGAACAGTCATGAAAACCATGTCTTTCCTTTAATATCAGAACTGAAACACAAAAAAAAAAAAAAAAAAAAATCTACGAAAGACCAAATAATAGGAACCAGTTAAGCACAAACTGCTTTTCTTTCCCCCTAAAAGAAAGCGCAAAGATGTCACCCACTGCTCCTGTCACATGACTTCACAATGACACTTATGGGTTTACAGTTGCGTAAAAAACATTTTGAATCACACACACACACAAACAAACAAAGTCTTACACACAGTGACCAGCAACACCCCAACTTAACAAGGTTTAACAGAGACAATCTTTGGCAACATTCTCGGTGTCGCAGGTCGGTCTGTCACACATAGTGAAGTGGTCGGGGAGAACACATAGGAAGAACGCTTTAGTCATCAGAGGTATTTAACAGAAGGAAGAAAGGAATCTCTATCATGGTGTTCAGACAGTTAGTGAGGTGAATTATTTAGCTAAAGTCAACCTTTAAATTTGTGTTTCAATTGTATTACTGACAGTTCCATCAGTTTCCTTTCAAAAACCTTTTTTTTTTACATTTTCATCCACCTGTTTTAGTGATTCAGCAAGTGCTGTATATCTGACTCCATTTTTAAAGATTCAATTAAAAGTATCATTGAATCCTAGAACCTTTGTTATCAAGTATCACCAGATGAAAACAGTGAATAGCTCCATCCTTGGTCTCAGAGATTTCATTTTATCTCTGATGTGGAAAGTTGGATTTTTTTTCATATAAAAATTTAACCATCTGTTTGGAAAGAAAACTTAATTCACTCACTACAGCTAATAATTGCAATGGTTAAAAGGTGCTGATTAAAAAAAAGTCTTTAGATAATGAGTCAAGTCAGACAATGTGCCAACATGATTTTTTTTTTAAGCAAAATAAAAGCAGCAGTTGACATATCATTAAAATTATTTTGTATATTTTCTCTTCACATCAGCTGTTCTACACACAAATGTCTTGTTGCAGTGAATCTTATCCCTATGTCTACACCGTCGGATCTGCTCTAATTTCCCTCACACGCTGTCTGAACACACACAGGAAAGTGGGGAGTCTCGAGTGACACTGTAACAGCCGGCATGTTACCACACAGTCCTACAGTAACACTCACTACAGTAACACTCACGACTCCGGGTTGAAAGCCAAGCCACAACTTGCACTTTTGCATTGAGCGTTTGACAGTCCTGCATAGATCTTTAACACACTTTTCAATACAAACTAAGGCGTTGTGTAATATCAGGTTGCTTTGTGTCAATAAGCAGAAAAAGTAAATAAAACATCTTACTCTGAAAAGTGAAAATAAAGTGAAATAAAACAATTCAAGTAGGCTACAATCTTGACACCCCCCACTCCCTCTCTCACTATCTCACACACACACAGACAGACAGACAGACAGACAGACAGACAGACAGACAGCTGCTTTCTCTCCAGAAGAACAGCCACAAACTTTTCAATTCAAGTCTTTTTTCCAGAAAAGGTCCAGTGTGAATGAACAGCACCAAAAACCCACGGATGAGAGAAAGACAAACACACTCACTCTATTGTGAAGAGGGAGGACACACCCGTGCTCATTCACACACAGTCACCTGGAAAGAACAAAAATAACAGTACATTGTTTATATGCACAAGCACACACACACTCAACCTCTCCATCAAACAAACATGTAATAAGATATTGTCCCTGTGTAAATTACAAATAATTTATCAATATTAATTTAAGCTACTATTTAACAGTCATCTGTGGGAGCAGAGGTGAACAACAGAAACTCTACAGATACACTAATTCCCACATCTGAGACGAACAACAAAAATTATTTTAAAAAAGTTATTCAGTCTGTTTTTTTTGTACTGCAACATCAAAGATTCTGTTATTCCACATGATCATAAATACAAATTATATATCATAGTGTACGACTACACCGATCTGTACCGTCACCACCTTGGCGCTCGCATTCGTCCACAGTGATAAAGGTCGGTCATATGTAAACATGTTGACAAATTAAAAGAAAAAACTAAACCAGAAGCTTAAAAAAAAGTTAAGTGTTCTCATCACTCACTCTAGTTTGTTCTCATACCCGGTTCTTTAGAAAATACAGTTACATTTTTTTAATCATTGCCACAATTCAGGGAGGAGAAACCTTTTCTCCTTTAGGTCCAACTTGGGGGAGGGAGGAAGCACTGGAGCTCCGCCCCCTCCTATATCGTAATATTATTCCAACGCAATAAATGCGAAGACCCTTATTGGTGGATTGGCGTCCCACTGGTGTCAGCCTTCTGTGATGTTATTGGTCAGTTGGGTTTTCTCTTCATGTCCCCAGTCTGGCTTTGGTTCACATCTGAGCCAGAGGACAAACTTTTAGACACTGGACACTACAGAACCTCAGAAATAACACACTAAGTTAATCTCAACAACTCCAGTCACTATGTTGCAAAGATGGAAGCTAGTTGGCTAAGTCACAGGTTAAAGTAAACTTGGACTGATTGAGTGACATACTAATAAAATATTAAGACCTGCATTTATTTATTTAGTGTATGACTACACCGATCTGTACCGTCACCACCTTGGCGCTCGCATTCGTCCACAGTGATAAAGGTCGGTCATATGTAAACATGTTGACAAATTAAAAGAAAAAACTAAACCAGAAGCTTAAAAAAAAGTTAAGTGTTCTCATCACTCACTCTAGTTTGTTCTCATACCCGGTTCTTTAGAAAATACAGTTACATTTTTTTAATCATTGCCACAATTCAGGGAGGAGAAACCTTTTCTCCTTTAGGTCCAACTTGTCAAAAAACAAAACTTTTATTTCACCTAAATTACAGTCTGGAAGGAACTAAATTCTCAACAGAACAACTTGAGCTTGTGAAAATGCGATCATGTCGGTTTAAAGATTTGGTTGTTAGGGTCAATATTTGATCGGAGATTGGACTCCTTTCTTTTAGTTGAATCAGTATATCAGTAGACGAATTTGCTACGAGACAGAGCAGTAGTTTGAGGTCTGGCTTTTATGACATGAAGCTGTTTTGACTGATGGTTTATCACATGTTCAACAGGGTAAGTTTTACTGCCTGGTAGTCAAGATCAGTCAGCAAAAGAATCACAAATGGATTCAGCTCTAAAGTCTGGAAGGAATTGTTTTAATCTATTTTTGAGACATTAGCAGTAATGAACCTCAGTAAATGTTGTCATTTTACGACACAAACATTAAATTCGCACACATGATCTGTCTGATCACTGACAGACCCATCCGACCAACAAAGGATGAGACCGACTCGTATCCCACCTCTGTTTGTTGATGTTAAAAACATACAGCTATTATTATAAAGCTACGACAAAGGACACATGCATTTATCACAAGACATTACGTAACAAAGAGCACCAGAACAAAGGACAACAGGTTGACTGGACAGGGACAGGTGGGAGACAAGAAGATGACGAGGGCGACTGGTGATTACCTGAGAAAGCAAGCTGCAAGTGAGGAGGTAGGGCAGCCTGTGACCCTGACTGGAGACTCTTATACAGATCTGAGGAGAAACACAGGGGAGGAGAGACAGATGAGAGGGGGGGGACGCAACAACAAAAACAACAACAAGATGGAAAATACAAAAAATATCATGGGTTTAATGGGTAAAAACCAAACATGGAGTGTAAGGACAAAAAATGAAAGGTACAAAGAGGAAGAGCAGTGATGGTGTCATGGTAATGTTGAGCACAGCAGAGGATGCTGGGTAACTGGGGGGAGAGTGCTGTCACACAAGACACTAGCAAGTTAAAAAGACACAGCTGACATTAGTACAACAAGAAATGTGTTAACAGCTCAAAAATGGAAATTTTGAAAAGATGTGTGCAACATAAATGTATTAAGTAGTCCTTCTGAAGGTAGTCTGGCAGGTCCTGTGACTTACACACCAAAGTGCATTGCATATTAAAAATAATTAATATCATTTATAGCCACAAGAGGGCACTGTGTACACTAAAGACTTTATTAAATAGATGAAAACAATAAAATATTCTTAACTTCTATAAATGAAAATGCAGCCAGAATAATGGAGAAAAGATTATACTCGCATCAACGTCTTAAACTCACAGCTCAGCATAAAATGAGGCAGATTCAAAGAAACAGGATCACCATGTTGAGAGACAGCTGCTAAAAGTCAGTTTTTTTTGTTTTTTTTTTTTAAACAGGGAATGCTATTTCTAGCTCATACTTCTGAATATCTGAGTGTATAGACTAGTTTTGTGGTAAATACGTAGGTGTGTGTGCCAACTCACCGATTAGATCACTCTGTGCTAGGGAGTATCCTGAGTTGGAGCTGGGGGTTGTGCCAATGCCAGCGGCTCCTGGGGCTCCAGGAGGGCTGAAATTGAGCAAGGGAGGGAACTGGAAAGGAAGTGAGACAGGGACCAGGCCTCCGAGCATGCCAAAGCTCAGAGGCAGAGAGGAGGGACTCCCCAGGAGAGGGGCGGCTGTGGTAGAAACCTGTATAACAAGGATGCAGGCATATATTTATCTACAGTGAGTACTCCATGATTTCATGTGTTCTATCAGTTTTCAGATCGTTTCAGTAAAACCAACCTGTGAGAGGTGTGACGTTGTGGAGGACGTGGCCAAATTTCCTGAAGCTGTCCAGCTATTTCCTGGCTTCGAGCTCGGGTTGGCCCCGCCCATCGCCCTTTGCCTTTGTATGTGACTACCCGAAAGTGAAGGCGAGGAGGATGGAGTAGTTTTGTCCGAATGACTGCCGACCACTTGTACCACTCCCTTATTGTTGTTGATGATGTTGATGCTGCTGTTGTTCACAGTGGACTGAGGCTTCTGGACTCCAGCAAAGTTACCACTGCTCTGCTTCATCTGTCCACCGCCAGACACACTCAGAGGAGGCCGGAATGGTTTGGGAGTTTTGTTGGTGTACTGGTGTTGTTGCTTTTGAGTGGAGATCATCTGGTGGGACAGAGGATGCGACGGGGAGGATGAAGGCGAGGGGGAGGAGGAAGGAGGTGGAGTGGGTACAGGAGGCCGAGGGGTGAGCTTAATAATGGGAGAAGAGTTGCTGCTGTGTGAGGACTTGGTGAGTGTGGCCTGCATCGGTGTAATGAAGTTGGGTTGGTGATGGTGATGATGATGATGTGTATGCAGTTTGACTTGTGAGGTGTGTGAGGTTGTGGAGGCTGAGGAAGACACTGGGGAAGGGGGGCAGAAGGACTGCAGACTGGGGTGGGAGGTGGAGTTGGATCTGGACTGGGATGAAGGTGAACATAAATGTGTAGTGCTGCTGCTCACAGCGTTGCCATTGCTGCTGGCCTTAACAGTGGTCTTGTTGAGTCCATGAAGACTTCCCATACCTCCAAGAACTCCCACAGGGCTGACAAAGCCCTTCTGATGGGGAGGGAGCAGAGGGGAAGCTGTAGGTGGAGGTCGTTGTTTAGGAGGTGACGGTGAAGGGTGTGGATGCATTTTGTTGCTCACACCTATGACTGAGCTGGACCTGTGGTTTGGTGATGCCAAGGTAACAGGTCTCTGATTCTGAGTATGGCTCACTACGACGGCTCCTTTGACTGAGCCGTAGGAGCCATCTGAAGTCCTTGAGGAAACTAGAACTCCTCCCTGCATACGGGCCACAGAGGAGACAGAAGCAGAGGAGGAGGAGGTAGCAGAGGAGGTTGACAGTGATGTTATAGTTGTTGGCAAATGTCCAGCAGCTGCAGCTGTGAGAGGAACTGACTCGACCTTTGAAGGGGAATGATGCTGCGTCGAAGAAGGGACAGAGAGTTGAGAGGCTGAGGGGTAGTGAGGCGTTACAGGAGGAGGAGAGGAGGTAGGGATCTGCAGAGGTGGAGGTGACAATGGGCTGTCTGAGGGCCCTAATCCTTTTGATGCATTGCTGAGGAACGCCAGAGCGTGGGAGATGGAATCCAGGGAAGGAGCGGTCAGATCCTCATCCAAAGAGTCTGAGAGACAGATGGGCTCCGAAGGTGAAGAGGAAGAGAGCTGGCGGTTAGAGGTCACAGCAGACGTGGAAGTTGGCAGAGTTAGTGTGGAGGTCATGGTGAGAGGTGGCTTGTGGATCCACAGGGCCTCCTGAAAAACAAAAGGTTTGATGAAGAAGAAGAAGAAAGCAGTGGATACAAAGCAGCACTTTGTCAAATGTAAAACAGATTGCATTAACAGTGAACACATGACAAGAAATAGAAAAACTACATATACATGAAACTAAAGGTTATGGATGCTTATGAAAACCGGTTTTATTCACAGTGGAATTAGATAAAACATCTATTTATTTACATGCATGTGAATATATATAAAATGAATTATTTTATTTATGATTCTGTATTTTTTTTAAAAACTGCATTATTTTTGTTAGGAGCCATGTGATAGCCAAAAGGACCGTCTCTTTTTAGGGAGCTGACCTATTAGAACACTCAACACTCACAAAAATAGCTGATACTCCTGTCATTAATATCAGGGAAAAGGATAATATTAACATTAACATGAGTTTATGTGATACAGCTCTGAAGAAGGGCAATTATAAAACACATTTTCAAGTGAATGTTAATCTGATGTTTTGATCCTGAAGTCTGATTTGTTACTTACTTTGACTTTGGGTTTGGGCCCAGGCACCATTCTCCTCTTGATTCTGTAAGTAAACAGAGCAGCCATTGGAGAAAGCTTTAGTTTTACAGTAAGAATTGAAATCCTCTTCAGAAACAGCAGAGTATTTAATACTACTGTAAAAACAGAAGCTGTCGGAGATGAAGAGGGTACTTACAGGTTTCCAGTGAGGTGACTGTGAACTGCCAGACTCTCTTTAAATAAAATCCTGAGGAGCGAAAACAACTAGTTTAGAACAACATTGAAAATGTTTACACTTTAAAGGTCACATGTCCCACTCAAAAGCCCAAGAGAATAAGGAAATCAGTTTTGTACATCAAAGACACATCGTTGCCAGCACACCTGATAACACCCATCTAACAAGATGTGGAGATTCAACCGGAAAGAAAATTACTTTGTATAATAGTTTTCAGCTTTTAAACAGTTCCTCCATTAAAAAGTTACATTGTGACATTTGACTTAATCCACTGAGTTTCTTCTAAGATTTTTGTGTGACATACAGTATGTGTAAATGGTGATGAAATTAGACTGAACCTTTGCCGAGTTATTGTTGCAGTGATGTAGTTTGATAAAACTGAGGATCACGAGGTCACGTTTAGAAAACAAAAAACAGCTTATTATGCAAAGAGAACCCAAAATTTGTTATACTTAATGTTGTGGTAAATTATTATGTTAATAAACACAAAATACAAATCTAGACAGACCATTTATTGCACTGGGGCTGCCCTTAAATGAAAACAAAACGTTTCCCATTTAAGTTGTTTTGGTTTTATTTTTTTCTAAATTAGGAGTGGTGTTATTTACTCTTTATGATCTGGAAATACTCTGAAAATACTCTGCTCTATAAATAAAAAAAAGTATACTAATCATTGTGACATGATGAACTGTGACGACTGTAGATGAAACTTGTAGAAGGGATGTTGGAAGTTTAGAACATGTATCATGTACATGTATCACTGTTGCATCAAAAGCTGAGCACGCGGGCGCACACACACACAGACCTGGTTTGCATCCAGCCCTTGGGCCAAAGTGGCTTGACCTCATTTTCTAAAAAAGCCTTGAGATAGTCCTCCACAGATAGAGAGCACTGTTTCTCCATGTCATAGCAGCTCAGCTTTACTCTCACCAAGCTGCACAGGAGGTTCCTGCAGAAGACAAACGTCCAAGACCCAATATTCAGTATTCAAAAATGACCATATAAACATGGACCAAAAAGAAGAAACACAACTGTTGTTCTTTTTATATCTTGACATCAATAAGAGTCACTGTGGATTTTGAATTTTGACTTATATGAGTATTGTAAATACTGTATTTGAAATGACTTAACTGACACTAATTTTTGATTCCACTTAGGCTTAAAACAACTAATTTTGTACAATGTTGAGGTTAACAACACTCAAACTTAAGATAGTGTAGACTTAGGCTGGTGTAGTGTCTTTAGTTCATATATCCTGGCAGCTAATCTTTTCAATACTGCAGACTGGTTCCTTGTTTCGCTTCTGACAGTTACTCACACAATTGGACATTAAAGTAACACTACAGTGCATTTGTTATTTTACCTGGACAATCAACATCTAGACAAATAATGTAAATTGTATGCACCCATTTATTATATGCAGAAATCACAAGATCACATCGGGGAAACCAGTTAAGGGGAGAGAAGACTATAAACACACTGCAGCTAAACCAGTTATTCATGTGGGAGTGTGTGAGGTCACTACCTGAGCCTGTCATCCCAGACAAACTTCTTCCGTGGACCCATTATCCTTTTGCCAGGTTTCTCGTCATCCTCCTCTTCTGAGCCGTTCTTATCTGCTTCCTCTGAGTGCTGCCTGCACCACACCCAGAAAGTTGAGCAATCACCAAACTGTATTGTCTAAGTTAAGGTCAGGTCTATCACCTGGCTTTCAATGTAAACATAGAAAGTCACAATGAAATGTGAGTGGTGCAATTTGTGTTATTCATTTCCAATAAAACAGAAGCAAGAGAAGGAGCAGGGACTTAAATAGAAAATCAAAATAAATTGTTAAACAACTTACTTTGCCACCTTGGCCATACAGTCCATGTTGTATCTTGCTATCTGCTCTGGCATCACACTGCACACTGCCAGTTTCAGCTTCAGGAGGGGTGTCCGCAGTCGATCGTCCTGAGGTGGGACAGAAGTTAGAAAATCAGGCAGGGAAATGGAGTCAAAGTAAACAAAAAAAGGTAATAAATTAAAACACTGACAGAGTCAAAGACAGGGGGATATTTTTGTCAATAATACTATTTTGATGGCCAATGGCAAAAGACATTTTTAACCCTTGTTTGCTGTTAGGGTTTTTGTTAAGTTAGTTGTTTCATGGGAGTGAAAGTAACTGGTCTTTAAAGAAAAGAAAATTGTTCGCTTTTAAAAACCCATTATAACATAAAACCAAGAACATAAAGAAATTTAAAAAAATATTTTGCCCAAAACACCTGAGGTGCAGATCTCTTGAATGTCGACAACTGCCAAGAAGACAGCCAAAGATTTACATCACAAATGTTAAAATTCACTTTGCCACACTTGGCTTTCCCACTGCAAAGAGTCACCGATCTCATTATTCTATTGAAAGGCTGGACCTATACATACTTTTAACACTAGTACTAGTAAGGCTCAAGTACTTCAATATCAGACTTTCATTGACCTTAGAGAAAATCCAAAAGATATGAACAGAAAGGCTCCTGTAAATCGGTAAAACATAGAGAGACTTTTTTGCTCTACAGCCTCACTCACCTGAATGTTGAGGCTGAGCTTCTTCAGTCGTTTGAGGAGAGCTTCTTTGTTGCACGGAACAAAAGCCTCCATGTGAGAGTAGATCTCTGATCGTTTCTGCGGAGGCTGCTCCTGCACCTGCAGCTCAATACTGAAAGAGAGAGATAGAGATAGAGAGAGAGAAAGAGAGGGTCAGGATTTATGAGAGATAAAGGAATATAGGATGCGAGGCAGTGAGTTTATGAAGAAAGCATGTATATGGATATAGGCAGTAATAAATCAAAGATAAACTGGTGTGTCACATGAACTTTAACAAACCAGGTGAACTGGAAATTAGTAGACAATGCAGATTATTAGAAATACATTTATAGATAGCAGGAGAGGTGAAAAGGACATTCATCTGAAATCCAACAAGAACATTTCAAGTCAGAATACAAGTTGCATTTTGCCTGATGATGATTTAAAGCCTGTCCTACTCACTCCAGGAGAATGTTATTCATGTCCAGCGTGAAAAATTTCTTCCTGCCCTCCTGATCAAACTGCCTGGAGGCCTGTGGGTGAAAAGGTTGAGTCAGCAAACGGCACTGCTTCATACAGCACATATACAACACACTTACAGCTGGGATGCTGAGTCTCTGAGGATATGACTGACAGGCACTAAACTAGGTCTAAATTCAGCACCGACCTCATAAACTTACATCTAATTTTATTTGCACACACAGGGGGCTTAAACACGCAACCATTTTAACCCCTTTATGCAATCCTTTTGAAAGTTAGTTGTTTTAGATGTAATTCAATTCCACTAAAAGTCCAAAGTCCACTAAAAGAAAAGAACTAAAACAGTATATATGAATCAGGCAGTGGGAAATCTATAGTGATAGATGGTGCAGAGTAAGTCTTTAAGTAAAATAATGTATTTTTTTAAAAATTATGAATAATGTGACAAAGATAAATGTCACTACTGTTAGTCGTCAGTAACGGGCTGCATGTCCATAAACCTTTACAGCACAGTCCACCTGTCAATTACACACTCAATGGGGTTCTGTTTTGTTCACACAATCAACATCTTGTGATATAAATCCCCTTTTATATATGCATTGAAATAGTTGTACTACTAACTACTTCCTCTGACATATTACTGTCACTATTTTACTAGTGAGATAAAATCCTTCACTTCTCTCTGTATGTTATCAAATTACTCCTCATCCTCACTTTCCCTGGGCAGCTATCTTATTTTGAATCCCATGTTAGTTGCCTCACTGCTCCTTTTTACATATGATCTTTAAACACATTTTTGAGTTGTTGGGATAAAGCAAAAAAAGGAGAAAAAAAAACACTTTGAAACCCATGATTCCTGTTTCAGACAGCTATATTAAATCCTGTGCTCTACTAACTGGCATTTGTGTTTGACAACAGCACAGAGGCTTCTCTGGTAATTGCAGCCACCCACAGAAAGGCTACATTTGACTCACCGCCCGCAGGTCCTCGATGCGTTTGATAAGAGGAGCAGGGAGACCATCAGGCAGCGGAGGCGGAGTATAAAGTCCACTGGAAGATCCTAGGCCTCGCCCTTGACCCCCTGCTCCCACTGGTTTGTGACCTGGAACACCAACTCCCAGAACGCCATTATGCCTGGCCAACACAACAGTGTTCTGAGGGTCTGTGTCCGTCAAGCTAAAGTCCAAGTCTCCAAGTAGATCCTGCAGCTCGTCCTCATTGGCCGAACCCAGCAGTGACATCACAGCAGGGTCAGATGTAAGTTCCGCCAGCGAGAGGTCGTTGCTAACTGTGTTGCCCTGCGACTGCGTGGAGTTAGAGGTCAACAGGTTGTTTGTTGAGTTGGCAGAGTTGGGCTTGTTAGCCACACCTCCTGCACTGTGGGGGTGAACCATGTTGGGGTTTCTTTTCTTCATTTCCTCTTTCTCTCTCGTAAACCTGCGGAGCATTGCTGCCAGGTACAGTGAGTCTTTCATCAGTTTCTTTCTCTTCTTCTTCTCCGGCCGATGGAGATTGAGAGCCATCACCCTTAAGAAATAAGACACAACAAAGTGGTTTTGAAAACAAATTATTTTTGTTAATTTTAAAAGATCTTCAATCAACAGAATGCTGGAATTTTGTTGGTAAACACTGAGCTGATCAGCCACTGAGCTGGGAATATAGTCCATGGGTTGAGCTGCAGGGGGAGCTGGGAATATAGTCCATGGGTTGAGTGAACTGGGGTGATGATTTTTGCGTGGACATAATATAATCTTACTTGATCACAATTCTATTTTAACATCACATTGTAAAATCCACGTTACATTGGCTATCATTTTGGTTGTTAATTTGTCTTTAGTACTAACTTCTTAATGGCCATGTTTTGGATGTAATCTTCAAAATGAACACGCAATCCAAATCTGTCTATCTTTTTATCTATGCCCCTAACTATCCTCCCATTGCTCTTTCTATCTATTGTGTATAATGTTATGAATCTCATAAGAGCACAATGGCAAATGCTGCTGCTATTTTTGGCAGCTGTTTTCATAATGGTGGCATGTTGGCGTCTGCGTCCTATTTGAGCGTGGATAATGGCCTCTTTTCTAGAAGGTGGCTCTGCCTTGTCACAGTAGAAAAGAGCAAGTCACAGTCAGCATCTCTGCCTGATGATAGATGTACAGTGTGAGTGGGAAAGCACAACAGCAGGGGAGTAGAATGTCACACAGAGAGTGGTGGATTAAACAGTGGACAAATGCGTCATCACATATTCACCGTGGCCTACAAATCCATGTCTACCGCAAAAAGGTTAGCTTTGTAGTCGACTCTTTTCCAAAAATCACTCTGTTGGATTCAGGCTGAGGTTTTTTTTTGACAGAGAGAATAGTGCACTGACAAGGAAGGATCAGCTTATTTAGCTATTCATTAAACACCTGTTCCACTTCTAATAAAAATCAGACCCTGTTTCTGTTCACAAACTGACGTAAACCGACCACAAATACAACAAACAGTAATAGAACTGAGCCATTGTTCTTACCCTTGTTTGGCTACTTTGTTCTTTTTTGAGAGCTCCTCTTCCAGGTTGTTCACGTCTTTCTTTTTTCTTTTCTTCATCATCTGCGCATCATTTGCTTTCTGAAACAAACGAACAATCACAGTTCAAGTCTAATGGGCAGATGACAGAACTGAAAAGTAGAAAAACTATCCATTTTTGCCTGAGCCTCCCACACAGTGCTGCATCTGTGTCCATGAGTGTGCAACAGCGTGTATGCAAGAGTGTATCCCTCCTGATGTGATGAATAACAATGTTCACATCACATTTCAGTAAAACTAATGAAAAACCCTGCTCTTTGCGGAAGGAGGATTTATCTTACAGCAGAACTGCTGACATACGATGGCTTTTTGGCTCAAAACTTAAGACATCTTCTGTGAGACAACTTTCTGGACTGACTCCTCAGAATATATAATGTTCACCACAAACTACCAATACTAGGAACCTGATTTGACAACCTCAGATTCCTGCACATTATCTCTGTCTGCCTAGACACTCTGGTCTAAACCATAGCAGATTAAGCAAATTAAATTGATGATGTAATGAAGAAGATTCATATTGCACCGGTATAAACAAACAACTTAAAATGTCTGAATTCATATTGCACCGCTATAAACAAACAACTTAAAATGTCTGAACTGCAGAACCATTGATTTGAGAAAACTTGACACAAGGCATTGGGCACGTTTTGAGCATCAGCAGTGAAGCACATTTCTGGGTTTGTTTGACAAAACTACAGTTTATAAAAATGTATATCAGTTTTATAATTGGTACAATTTTAAACCAGTGTTAAACCCCTTAATTTTATATAAAGTTTGGTTCAGTTCTACTGGACCCTATAACTATGTCACACTTCCACTGTAAGGACCAGAACAGGACTGACAGTCACAGTACTTTAAATCTAGTTTCTAGATAGGAGTACAGGGCAGTATAGAAACTTAATAAACCTCTTCCCGGAGAGTTGAAGAAACTGTTGGATTTTATTTCACTTGCATGTTTTTTAAAGCCACACTGTTTCAATGGGATATTAAAAAATGAATTGAAGGGATGGAGCACTTTTACAAGAAGATAAGACTAATGAGGTAAACATGTTAATCATCTGTTTACATCTAAATCTCTGACTGGACTTGTGACAGCAATTTAGACAGAAATAATACAGTTTATTACGACAGTTTTAAGTGATTAAGTGGGTGTGAGCTGCTTGTTATATGTGTATCTATGTGAATTGTCTGGATAACAGACTTACATGAATATAGGACAGTCCTGCATCAAAGTTCATCATCAACATTTATAGCATTTGTGAATTTCCTGAAACTTTTAGCCAAACAAAATAAAATATAGATAATGACAGCACACTCTCACCATATCCTGCTCCCCTTCTGAATCAGAGGCCGCTCTGAACTGAAGCGTACCAGTGTTGATGTAGAACCCCCCCAGCTTTGTAGTCAGAGAGGCGGGCACCAGCTCATCGTACTGAGAAAACAACATCAGAGGGCAGTTAACGACATCAGATAAGCGGAAACTAAAAACTAAAAAAAAAAATACATCACAAATGTTCACATTTGAAAAGAGTCGAGTTGCAGATAATGATGCAAGCTAAAATGTTGAAAATCAGCTCCTAATGCTCTGATGGTCAGTGGATCTAAAACATCATCATACTAAAACAAACAGCTATCAAAACAGAATGACAACTTGCAAAAAACCAGCAGAGAATCTGATTGTCAGAAACAGGTGAGTTTCTAAAAGTCACAAAAAGACTGATAGTGTCTGAATACGGAGTGACACACAATGCATAATAAATGAGAAACCCTTCGTTAACACAGGTAGCCTGATCAAGTCGTGATGAAGATGTTTTTGTCTATTGATATAGGCCTGTTGTAATAAGGGACACGTGATATTCTTTACAAGTGCTGTTGATAACACACACTCAAACAGAGGAAGAAGAATGTCAACCATGACAGAATGGCAAAAACACTGTTTAGGAATGTGATGAGGACAGCAAATATTTCAGCAGGTAATAAAGGCAGAAAAGAGGGGTCAGTGCTACCAAAAAGACCAAAGGGCGACCACTGTCTAAACTACAAATGACATTCTAAAAAAGGATTCACACAAATATAATCTGTCCACTAATATTATTTAAAGAATACTCACAGCTTCTGAGTTGTCAATGAAAGGGTCGGACTCGTCGTAACCAAAACCAATGTCTATCAAATCTTGCATTCTGTCCTTCCTCTTCTTCCCTGTATTACCCTAGATAATAATAAACATTAAACTTAAGTTTTAACTTTAAGTATTTTCAACATTAATCAATCATCCTAAAATATTGAATATCTGGACCCTGACAGCTTGATAAATTATAGATCATGTCCTTAGTGGTGACATATTGTCATCCATGTGTTTGTGAAAATGAATAAAACAAGGATATTACATCATATTTGTGAGCATTTGCTACTAAGCAGCAAGAGTGTCATCTACACACACATCTATACACCTTTGTTGCTATTTTATAAATCCACATTTGTCTCCACAAGCTATTGTACTATTAACTGTATTAAAAGCAGTTAAGTAATTAAAAAAAAAACAAACAAAAAAAAACGTACATATTTATTTTCAAACTTTTTCGCCAAGGACTCCACCTGTCGCCGTTCTTTCTCCTCGTCGTTGAAGGGGTCGTTGGGTAAATTAGCCGAATTCACACTAGGGAGTTTATTTTTGGCCTGCAAAAAAATAACAGAGAATATTTCAAAAACTCAAAAAGGATATTTTACTATATAAATCGGTTTCTTTGGCAAAACAGCAATTTACATGTATGGGGTTTATTTAAGAGACTCTGTTCATTTAAAAATACACAATATTGTGAAAATGAGGTTTTCACAATTAAAGACGATTAAAGCAGCTCAAACTGAAAAAAGTAAATGATGTACAGGACTTACCAAAGGAGAGAAATAAATAAAGCAAAGATTTACTACAAAAAAAGGAATGTAATATAAACACCTTCAAATGACTGTAATATACAGTAGGTGTATATGTGCAGGTAGTTAAAGTATAGAAAAATGTATTTATAAACACGTGTTAGTCACATTACAAATGCATGAAGCATGGACCACTTTTCCCTCATAATTAAATAAATTACAAATGCCTTTTTTTAATAAATATAAAACTCCAGGGGAAAAAAAAAATCAACTGACAACTTTTACAGACTGTCACTTTGATAATATATAATAATATATTACAGTCATTGGTTGATCACCAAAAGTATAAACATAATAGTCCAGAATAAAGTAACTGACAGGACAGCACTAAAAAAACAAATTTAATTTGATTAAAAAAAACCTGTGGAGTGAACTGAAGGCCAGGGCCCAAGACCAGCAAATCTTGAGGAACTTTAGATTTTCATCAAAGGAGATGAGTTTGGGTATCAACAGGGAGACTTTTTTTGAAAACTACCCAAAAAACTGTAGTTTGGTTACTCAGCAAAAGGAAACAACTGTTTCAGAACCAGGAGGCTCAGCATTTTGATATATATTTCTGTATACAGTGTAAAGTCAAGCTTCCAAAAACAAAGCTTCTATGTTTGGAAATGCCCTGTTAAGTCACCAAGTATGCATGAGAGCACTTGGGAAATAATATAAAAAACCCATGGGAATGAGACTAATATTTTTCTAATCAAGTGTAGAATATTAGCTTATCTAAACAGAACATCCAGTTTAAAACTACGCAGTTGCCAAAACGAGGCGAGCTTCATTGTCTCTGTGTCCCTGACATTTGCTTTGCTCCCATTGCTACATCCTGGTACTTCATCAGCATCTATCTATCACCCGCAGCCACAGGGCCAAACTGCATGTGGCATTCCCAAGTGCTGAAATGGCTGTGTGACTGACTGTTGCTGGGCAAGTCACAGTCAACAGGACACACAGGTACCACCGTCAGAAGCAGCAGTCAACTCTCCACATGTGTGAGTGGAAAGGAGGTTCCTCTAGTCAGCTGAAGTTGGAGAAAACACACTCACACATGGAGGCTGGGTGCCGCTGTCTTTTGTGCTGACTCGCACTAATGGTCAGTTTCGAACACGACGGTCCCCACAAGGACAAGGTGCACCCCTCCTCCTCTGTTCTTTACTTAGCAATGACAAGTCCACACAGACACTTGAAGAGCGATAAAATAAGTCCAGCAGCTGCAGCCCAAGTCGGCCTCCTGCTCGTAATCACAGCGGGAGTGAGAACCTACCTGCAGGCTCTGGATAAGTTCGCCGTAATTAAACTCGGCGGAGGAGCGCTCGTCAGGCTCGGAGAGTGGCAGGTTGAACCGCAGCGTCTCCCTCTTCTCGGCTCCTGTCTTGTCCCTGTCGCCGGTTTTGCCGAGACGACCGTTGCTGGCAGCAGCACCTCCTGCCCGGGTCACTGCCTCGACCTCGGCTTGAGCGAAGCTGAAGTCGGCCTCGTCCTCCAGCCGGCGTTTCCTAGAGTCTGCGGCCGCTCCGGCCGCGAAGGCCGACAGGGTGACAAATTGCACTTTTCTCGGTTCGGCCATTTGGATGAGCAGCCTGTCTGAACCTCGCTCCGGACACACAGCGACAACGAGGAGAAGAGCTACTTCGCGAAACTACTCCAAATTGATGGATTGAAGAAGGTTTCGCGAAGCTGCGACGGCTTCTCGGTGCCTTCACGACAGTCAGGGCCTCCTCCGAACCATATGAATCCAAATCCAGAGGACGCAGCAGTCGGGGAAAAGTTGTTTTTTCGGAAGCTTCTTGCATCCTCAGCCTGCTATGTGAGCGAGACATTCACAGGAGCCATCTTGGGTTTGGAGAGTAAATAAAATATCAGTAGAGAGGGGTCGCTGCGCATGCGTATACGCACCAGCCAGGCCACCGTGACACGAGAGGGGTAGGGGGGAGTCATCATGACCAATCAGAATCCGCTCTGATCATAGACACGCCCTCTTAACAACAGGCGATAATAACAACACTATTAGTACTATTATGACCTTTATAAAGTGTCGAACGAATACACACGTACACGGTGGGTGTTATAGCTGTTCCTGTGAGAGAACTGTAACTTTAACTCTCAACATCAACATAAATCGTATGTATAATCAATCGTAACTTATGTAGTTTTCTTTCTGCACCTATTATTACTGTGTAATTTGAAGTACTTATATTAAAATCTGCCTCATCAGGTACTACTATTAATGTATTTTAATCTTGATATTTTATAGTATTTTACTCTAACTTCTTTCATGTTGGCTGCTAGATTTTGTAGTTTGATTAGGTTGACCCTCTAACCCTATTATACTGTATTTGCCCTGGGATGTAATACCCTATGCGACACAACCCCCCAATCTGTCCATACATTACACTTTCACACTAAGCCAGTAAGTGATGCGGTCAGCAAACTATATCTCTCTCACCAGGTTTTTGTCTATCTAACAGTTACTCTTTCCAGCTGTATGTGTTGGTGTAGTATGTGTTTTTATTAGTGTTATCAACAACTTCTTAGAAGGACCTTGTAAAATAAGCTATTTGGAAGACATTTTTGTGCAGCACTTGAAATACAGCCAACAAAAGTTGATTTTTAAGGAAGCTAGCTTTTTTATAGTCAGTTTAGTCAGCTGTTTTGTCAGCATTGTTTTGTCAGTATTTAGTTCAGATAATTTTAAATGACGGTATTTTAGTATTTAGTTCAGATAATTTTAAATGACTCAGTTCAAGTTATTTATTTTATACAATGTACAATGTATGACAATATTCAATCATATAAAGAATAAATAGTAGTTAAATGTTTTGAAAGAGTTTTAGCTGAATAAAAGACTACAGGAGCTAGTGTTTAAGAAATAACGTCAAAATTCTTGAACTCATGTAGGAACTAGCAACGGTTCAAGAACCATGCCGTGAACTCATCAAGTTTCTGCAGTAACACGACACATAAAAAAACTATACCACAATCAGAGTTTGAATAAGATTCCAAGCAACAGCTCTCAAAAAATATTTTAAATTTCCAATGATGAAAACTAGACATAATCAGCCAATCCTTAACACTGCTCATGTCCCAGTATTTAATAAAATTGAACTTTACGTGTTGTAAAAAGCCATGAAAAGTTTTACTTTTACCTGCTTCAACCTAGAATATCCTGACAGTTTGCTTTAAATTTGCTCACTTTAAATGTAAAATCACACTCCACCCAACTGCTCACTTAAGGTACATTTGTCATGTAAACTGGAAGTGTGTTTTCTCTTTGGTTCTGCATAAACTATGACCTGTTGTTGCATTAAATTTCTTCTTTTATAAACTAAAAAAAGACTACTTATCCAGTTTGCTGCACATTGAATACAAATATACAAGTTTATTGAAAATTGCACTTAATTAATGGTATGTGTAAAACGTGTATTTTAATATAAGAGGTAAGAGTTCCACATTTTAATATCAAAAATATTCTCATTTTTGTTTAACCATCTTAAACCACTTTATAGTATGTTAAATATGACTGTTTTGCTGTCTTAGGGTTTGACTAAACACATGGTAATGCTGATTCGTGACTCCTGATGTAGGCCTGTAATGAGGTGAATGGTGAATGCGTTTGTCATGACAGAAGGACTCTGTTGTCTTTGGCCCATTTCCTCATAGTTCGGATGATGTATTCAACTTGGGGGTTTCCTGAATTTCGCAGCAGTGGCACCACCTTCTTCAATGTATCCCTATAACACAGAGAGAAATATAAAAAAATAAAATAAAAACATTAGACCAAAGATGCATTGTCTCTGGAGTGTCATTTTCTCTTCGCCCGCTTTAGCAATCCGCTTATGTTTGTTTTATGGCCCAGGTGTGATTCTGATGCATGGACAGAAATTATATAAAATATTTTAAATTAATATACAGACGTACTTAGGTTCCTTGTTTGCCAGGATGAGCTGGAAAACACCCACACAGGCCCCTCTCTTGCCGTCCCAGTAATTAGATTCAGGGTCCAGCTTTTCAAGTGCATCAAAAGCTTTGGCTGCATAAAAAAACTGGCCCATCTGTAAAAGCAAATTAAGCTCAAAATCACATTAATGGATCAAACTGTATATGTTGTGTGCAAACCAGTGAAAAAATTAGAGTCAATTCAAAAGACAAGTTTTGAAAAACCAGTATTACAACCAGTATAATGAAAAGTCTTTCCTTTTGTATTTTTGTCTAACCTTTTAACATAAAGATGACATAACACACTATTTTATTATTCACTCTAAAAAAATGAGAGTAGAATTCAAGCACTGGGTCACATAATTTTCATTTGTATTCAATGTTTTAAAAAGATCAGTTGTTACTGATGTTTGTGCTCTATTTACAGTAAAGAAATGTCACTGCAGGATATAAAAAAAATTATAGGATGATGTCACCTTGTAGCAGTCGTTGGCAATGAGCTGCAGCAGACTGAAGGAGTCTGAGGAAGTTCCCATCTTCAGGTAGAGCTCCCAGGCGAGTTGACCCTTCTGGTTCATAATGTCTGATTAACACAAGACCAAGAGTCAAACCTCCAGCCACAGCCATATTTGGAAACTTTAATAAACTCAATTGTAGAAAAAAATTCTTAATACAAAGACCTGCAGTAAGAAGGACCTGCTGAGAAGATTTGTTTCTTTGTCTCATTTTTACCAGATCAGTGTCTCTGTTGGCATCAAGGTTTTCTATGTGCCAACAGCAGCTGTAAGCTGTACTAAAAGACCACTGAGCATCAACTACTAATTTAACTTTTCTCAATCATTAAAAAATATAATAAGATACAACACGTACAGCATCTGGCCAGCCAGCTGAGGTAAATGTAGTCGTTCTTCATCTTCTCACTCTGAATAAGCAGGAAAAGCTGTAGGGAACAGTAGTGCATTTTAAAAATTCAGCAGTGTCAATAAGATGGGATAAAAGTACAGAACATAGTTCAGATTTTTCTTCTTTTTTTTTGCTTAGGTGAAATACCTCCTCAGCTTCTTTGTAGTTGCCAAGTGCTGCTTTAGCCTGAGCGTAGTTGAAGTTGAAGGTGTCGTCATTGTAGAAGTAACCCTGCAAAAAAAACCCCAACAACAACATAAACACCAGATACACCTTGACTGATCAAAAAGCACTTAATGTGAGGTGGACTGTGTCATAAAAGCAAGTAAATGATACAACGATAATATATGAATCCATGAATATAAGGTACCAACCTTGACTGAGTTGAGATATATAAGCACATCTTCAAACTGCCTCAGGAGGAAGAAGCAGGAGGCCATGCACTGTCTGCCAGGAATAGTGTCTGAAAGGAAAGAAACATGCATTCACACATGCTAACATGGTGTTCCTGTGAAAAGTTCACATCCATCAAACGGCTGGTGACTATACCACATTCGCTGGCCGAGCCTCCAACCAACTGGAAGAATTGCTGTGCGATCTTCAAGTGCTCTCTCTGAAAAGGTGAGTTATGCAGTATAAGTATAAATGGAACTTTAACACTTCATCACAAGTGTAACTTTCACACTTTATCACCAATACTCACTGATCCAATTTCTTGTCCTAGTGAAGCATTTACCACTCCTTTCAGGATATACTCCTGAAAAAATAAAATAAGAAAAGGAACACTCACACAATCATGAAAACTGCAGAAAATATCTCAACGTCAAACATTTGGGTAGATTAACAGGTCGTGAAAATCCTAAAAGAAATATCACAGAAAAACAAAGAACCTGAGGTGTAGTTGGCACCAAATCTTGGATGAGATTGTAAGCCTCTTGGACATCATCTGAAGAAAAAAAACACAATTAAATTCCCTATTTAATTACAACAATTTAAGTAGTATAAAGTGACAATATCATTTTATAATTATTTCTGAGTAAAATGTTGTGTTGCATTTAAATACATTTTTTCATGTTCCTAAATAAGCTCAAAGACTAACACAACTACCTTATTTCATATACAACTTCACCCACACACCTTGTCTGAGGTAGTAGATGACAAGGTTGAGTCTTGCCTCGGGAATCACATCGATCAGAGGAGGCAGCACCTGCAGAGCCCCCTCCCCACCACGGAACACCACCTGCAGGACACAGGGCAGCGACTCAGGCCTTGGCAGCTTTGTACTTATGTAAGTCAGTTGTTTGTGTGCACACACCCACACCCCACACCTAAGGAACTTAAGCTTACCAGGTTGTGCCGGATAAGCTCCTTAGCAAACTCAAAGGAGCAGGAAGATATGTCGATTAGGTTCTTCAGTTCAGCCTGACACGGAAAGAAGGCAGAAAATGAATCAAAGTGACACCGGGGTTTTCAACAAAAGACAAACAGAAACACACCAGCACCTTCTGGCTCTACTGTAATGGAGTGAGCTAGTTAAACTAGAGTGTACAATCTTCACTAAATTAGACAAGCTCAATCAAAGTGCTTACTTAGGGCTAATTTAAACAGGAAATAAAGTCAAGAAATGAAAGGGGGAAACAAAGTAAATATTGTTGCGCATTAAAATAATTTCTAAATAAATATATTATATATAAGGATAGATTTAAAATGAAAATGAGTGTGTGTGTGTATACTCTAATGTTTATACCTAGTTCTAAAAGCTAAGATCACAGTCATACACTGTGCCATAATAATATGATGGATATACAGTATATTTCTTCATTGGTGTCTGCAGTGACACAGGGAATCAGGCATGCACCTCTGCTGCTTTGCCGTTGTAGACCCTGAAGTGGTTACAGGCCTTAAGGTTAAGGGCAATGGTGGAGTCAGGGATGCTCTGCAGGTACACAGCCAGAACCTCCTGAGACACATCATAGTAGTCCAGCTTGTAGTAACACAGAGCCACATAAACCTTCAGGGCCAGGAAATCTCTGAAAAAACAAGATAGATAACAGCTTGTAAATGTAAAAATTTCAGATTAAGATTCTACTTAATGTCAAGTCAGTTTTAAGATACAGGCAGTGAGAGTTATTTAGAAATATTTATATATATAGAATATCAAAACACAATTTACACTTTGAAGGAAATTTTATCTTTTCATTCTCGTGTTATTGTAGATTATATCTGAGTGCAGCAACAGTTTAGGTCAGAAGGGAAATGAGCCTCAAATAAAACCAACCAAGATTGATTAAGTGAAGTGAACTACATGTCATTGTGACACAGCACACCACTGCACACAACGGAATTTGACAGGGGGGTTGTAAGGCAAACACAGCGCAGACCTGTTCTGCAGCAGGAGGCGTTTATAAATATCTATGGCCTCTTGGTAGTGAGAACGCATGTAGTGAATGGATGCCAGGCTCATCTGGTCCTCGGTCACATCCTCCAGGTTCTGGTGGAAACCCATCAGCTTTGTCTCATCATTAAACTGGGAGACAATTCAGAGACAACAAATACATTTTTAAAAACAATCAGAGACGAGTGACTTTAAGGTTTGAGACTAGAGGGACAAAAGGAGAGGATACTTATTAATCACATCTTAAAAGTAAAAGAGAATACTCTAAGAGAAATATACCTGAAAAGAACAAAACAATGATACAAACAATGGAAAATGTTTTTTTTTCTCTCAACCTCGAACTGCAATAATATATACGTACTTCCAGCATCTTAATAGTATCCAGATATTTAGTGTATTACAGGATAGAGGGTATAGGATTGTTCAATACTGTAGTTAGATTTAAGGGGATAGAAAGAGGATGAATAAGTCATCCATAAATAAGTGTCAGTTACCTTGTGAGCCAAGTGAAAAAGAAGGCGATTCTGGAGTGGTGATACTGGAGCTAATGACAATGAATCCGAAGTCAGAAACACAGCAAACCAGAAGTTAGGTTTTACTCTATTATTTTACAAATGTTTTTTTAATCTGTAGCCAATTATGAACAAATATCTGATGAAAGTTCTTGTTATGCTTGTCAAACATTTTCTCATAAAAAAAATTTAAGGCATAAATTTGAAAATGCAATATCTACCCTTAGATGCAGCTTCTTCAGCCTCTTTATAGAGCCCCAGAAGAAACAGGGTGCAGGCTAAATAGACCCAAACATCAGGAGGACAGTCAGGATTGTTCGTCAGTGCCTTGTACTCCTGTTAAAATATTGCAAAATCAAAGCCTTGCACATGACTTATAAAAAACATGTTTATCATTTTATTTGAAGCATTTTGAGTTTATGTCAATAGTACTATACCTCCATAGCTCTTTTGTGATCACCTAAATGAAAAGCACAGTAGCCGATCCATAGGTCAGCATGCTCCTCTGGCTTTCCAATACTTTTCTGAAACTGAAAATCAAACAGATAGCATTTTTGTATCAGTCTCGAATGGATAGGACAGACATTTCTAGGATCTATGTAGCTAGCATCTCACATCAACTCCTCAGCACACTTGGCACTATAGCAGAATAAATTAATTTCCTTGAATCTTTACAGCTACTAAAGCTATGATGGTTTTCACTTTTCCTGCTCTTTAACTATTAATCTTGCTGCTGTGCTTACATCCAACAAGGTCAGGGCCCCAAGATAGTCCCTCTGTTGTAGGTAGTCCTCCAAACAAGGGCTCTTTGTTTTGTTTTTTTTCTTTTTCTCATTGATGCTCCCTGCAGTTTCTCCTCCCACAGCTGGTTTCACACGAGAGAGAATCTGTAATAGAGTAATAGAAAAGATGACGATCTTGACAGACTACCAATATGCATAAAACTACGAAACTATAAAATACAAGGGTACAAATCAGGAGTGGAAGATGTTTGCTAACAATGTCATGTGATTTCAACCATTTGTAATTTTAGAATTCCCCATTAGATTTGATACTATTTGTTCTGGCTTTCGCCCTAACCAATATGGCAGCAGAGTTAACGTTTCGACCTAATGGGCCGCAGCAGGCAATGCGGCACTTTAATTTACTTAATCTGCGATGAGTAATGTCCTATTTTACATAAATAATGTGTAGTAGTGCTGCAATGGCGTTACTGTGAAAGGCGTTACGATGACAGAAATGTTAACTCACCATGACCCTGTGTTAAGGAAATGATGGTGACCAAGTTGAGTCTAATCTACCACACAAAACACATGTACGAATGGACAGATCGCCAAACGCGCAGTCGTAACATTATTATAACTGATTTATCTATAGTTAAATTGGCAGTAGATACCGATAGAAAAAATCGACCAACCGACACAGGATGCGCAAACAACAGATAAACTAACTGACTAGCGATAATCACGTAAATAAACGATAATTTTGAAATAATGTGTCTGGGAAATGTCCTTTAAATTAATAACTCAAATGCAAAGACGACGTTTCCTGGCAGTCAACACCTGAACAAAATATCATGCGTCGCGAGAAGCTTGTCGCTAACTAAATGGTGAGTTTGTGTTAGCCTTCTCTCCATGGTTACGTTTCCGGTGAGATGAAGAATGACTTCCGGCTCTAAACTTTCAAAATGTAGGTAGAAGATAATACTACACGCAACTACAGCTGCGTTTTATTCAATGTTAGGAGCCACATTTGAACTGTAATGTTTTTTTGTCTCGTTGGATGACACTTTGAAGACGCCATATGTTGTTGTGGAGTGTCGCGTTTAATACCAATCACTGATCTCGTGTTATGTTTTGCAATATCTCATCCATTCACTATAAGGACGAGAAAGATTAAACATTAATTACAAAATGCCAGAAGTTAGCAGCAGTTCGGATGCACGTTTTATTGTGTCGTGAAATGATCTTGAGATTCACGAAATGTACTTTGTATTTAATTTTGATCAAGATGACCTGGATGACTGAGAAACTACACAGATAGCGCAAAGGGTCCAATAGCGCGCCCCAGTGGCCTAATGGATAAGGCACTGGCCTCCTAAGCCAGGGATTGTGGGTTCGAGTCCCATCTGGGGTGGTACATTTTTCGTGTTTACTATTTAAACAATAAAGTATGTTGTTAATAAAATTAAAAATATATACATGTATAATATAAACTATCCACCCGTAATAAATTAACCACGTATGGTATGGCTCTGAACAGTAAAGCCCGGTAATAGCAGTGATGTGCTGTGAGGCTCATGGCTGGTGAGGCACTGACTCCTTTGGAGTCAGATTTACAATTGTAAAAACCGAAAACAGCATCTTATTTCACTATTCATCCAACAGCATCACCTGGTAATGCTTCATATCCATCAGCATTCCTCTTTCCATGACACCAACACAAACACATACACAGGAAGTAGTAGTACTGTAGTTTGAAGCTAACCTTTTAGCAACGGTGTTGATCTTCCATCACTTACCATCTTCTGTTTGAAATGCTTCCGTCTTGAAATAGAGTCGGATCAGGCAGAGCATAGAAAACGCTGTACGTATGACCCCTTGAGGTGAGTCAGAGTACTGTTTGCCTCCCCTTCTGGCTTTTCTCTGCATTTTATCGCCTGATGAACAGAAACTGACAAGTTCTGTGAATTATGGCACAGGTTTATAATCAAATAACACCGTATCTTTTTCAGTTCTCCTTTATTCTTTGTAAATTTCCTGCACATCCCAAACTCTATCTCACATAGCAATACTAACAATTCTTATTGTGTGTGACTTCATTTTAACTGTTTAAATTAATTTATTCATTCATTCAAATTTTTGGATATGGAACACTTTTTTACCCATAGAGTAAACTATGTTCAATATATACATGTCTCCTTTAAACATTTCTACACATAAACATCTAAAAAGAAAATATACAAGAAAAAAGGATTCTGTTGCCTATTACCTGTCAACACCTACATCTCTGCAGAAATCATCTGGAAATAAAGACACTCATAAATAACCATAGGTAATTAGCTTTTGACATTTAAAACACATCATCACTTACTTGTTTTCATACGGTATAGAGAAAGCTACATATTAAAGTGCTTACCTAAACTTAAAAAATAAACTTAATTGGAATAAAGAATTAGGGACTCTTTGTAGTTTAAACCAACATGAAGAATATAATTTTGATGGTGATGAAGTACCTTTAATTCTTGACTAGAATGTTCAAATATCTATATAAATGTATGTAATATGTATGTAATAATCTGACAAAAACGAATGAAATCAGGGTTCTGACATAAATGACATCACGTCACATGTGACTCATCATGGTTAAATAAAGATCACTCCAAAAATGCCACAGTTGTATGTTAATGTAAAATTGACATAGTTTAAAGTAGTATTACAGCAAAGGCTTGCAGTGATTAAATGCTACAAATTGTTTGTGTTATCTGTAATATTTTTTGTGATCATCAGTGCTGATAAATAAACAAATGCCCCTTCAGTTTATTTGTCCTACTATTTCAATAACTGCTCAGTATTATAGAGGGAGATCATCTCAGAGCTATGGTCCACCAGTAAACACAATGTCCTGTTTATACTTGGCACATTTTCCACTTTTTTAAAGGTAGTTATGCTGAGAGGAGGAGACGTTGGCCCTCTCTATCACTGAAGAACATTTCTTCAGTGATATTTATACTTCAGTAGGCAGGACCTCAACAACACTGACAAAGAATAAATCTCACTTCACAGCAAGGAGTGTCACTGCAGTCCAAGACTGACAGAGGAGTGTGTCAGGGGTAACATTGCAACCTCAAAAACACACACCACATTGTTCATAGGCAATCAACACCAAACACACAGAGCAGTCTGGCTTTCTCACGTATGTATCCACGAGGTTCCCTGGACCTAAAGCCCTGATTGTGCCGGCTCACTCTCCCATGAGCACCTTTGGCCCCTTTTTCTCCCAGCTGTGGCTTTTGTTGACATAAATCACTACCTTCTTGTATTTTGTATTATGTATTTTTAATGGCCTCTTCAGGATTTGAGGCCCATTTTAGCCATCAGCTGTTCATAGACAGTCCACGCCATAGCAGCCATCAGCGTACGGCGAAGAGACCGGGGTACTGCTCCTCGAAAAAACCCACACATGCCGTGTTCCTGTGGAAAACGACAGACCAGGGAATTTGGTTTAACTTGTTAACTTGTATAACAAGTACTGGATGTCATGCCTGAAAATATTATATGAATATTATATAACAAAAATCTTTTGCTTTGATTACAAACCCTGTAGATGGAGCGCATAGCATTAGCTGTGCTCTGGTGAGATGGGCTGACTTGTATGTATGTCTTAACCACATCTGCAGGCTGTGTGACCATGGAGGCCATGACACCTGCCACCATCCCACAGCTGAAGTTCACTAGTGGAGCGTAGACTGACAGTGTCACATCTGAGAGAAGAGAAAGTACAGAAATGAAACTGGTCTGAAAAACTGCAAGACAAAGTCTTCCGTAACCAGAGCATGCTCAGTCTGGACATGTATGTCACTCAAGAGCCTGGGCACTGGAGTCTGTTGGTAGTCCCATTTTAAATGTAGTTTGAATAACCACACACACAAATCTGTTTGCTCTTACCTTGTGGCAGTAATCTCTTGGTCTGACTGTAGACCATGACGTAGATTCCTGAAAACGGAGCGTCTCTGAGCATCGTGGCCGTCAGCCCCGAGAACAGACTCCTGATTCCCTCAGTATTGTACATACTCCTTATAGCCCCGCCCACACTCACGTAATTGAAGTGACCGCTCTGAAACAGAACAGAACATCTGACATGGCTGTCGCCACAAAATACTGACACGAAAATTTGAAGAAAGACACACAATGACCTTCTTAAACAGCTGAGGTTAAATATTTTTTGCTTTTAAAATCCTCTGCTGCCACCAAGAGCATTCAATAGTACTGCCTTTCAAAGGACAAATTGTCTTACATTTTAGGAAACATCTCTCAGGTGTCAGGTTTTTCATCCCTTGAAATAACAACAGCAATTTCGGTGTCAAAGCAAATATGGACTCTTTTAAAACCTTTTTAACTGTTAAAGCTTTCCAACTGATTTTGATCTACCTCCATTTTTTTCCTACACATTCTAACATATGAAAGGTATACCATTTTGGCTAAATGGGTTATGATCAGGTACAATAAAAAACATCCCTCAGTCAGAAGGGACTCTTTAAAGGAAACTACTTGTAGAAGAGTTTATACTAAAATGGAGACTGAAATGAACAAACATTGTATTGAGCTTTTGGCTGAACCTCGTATCAGGTTACAGTGACTCTTACCTCAAAGCGTGTCTTAATGACTGTGAAGGGAAGCATGCAGACACCAGCCACAGTTCTGGCTCCTACGCCAAGAAAAACAGCCTCAGCAGCATTGGGTTCTCTGTCCAGCAGGAAGTGCTGCTTCAGAGAGTAGAAGGTGCTGAAATAGATGCCCACGCCTGGGATGCAGCGTACAAAAGACTGTCAGAAGAAAAGAAAGAAATCATATATCAATGATTCATCCTAAAAAGAACCAAATGATTTTTTTTTAAATCTGGTCATGGTCAAGGTTGAATGTTGTGTTCAAAATAATGTATTAATAAAAGACATCATGAATTGTAAATGACACATATCTTACATGGTCAGTTACTTACCGGTGAAACACCTTTCCACAAACTGAAGAAATTCTCTTTCCTAATAACACTGATGAACACAGCAAACATCCCTGCCTTTGGTGCACTGTGGGTGGAAGTAGAAAAGTTACATTTTGTGAATCACTGCCTGTGATTTACTAATAAAAATAAACACCCATTTTCAGCAAATACATTTTTTTGCTTTATTTACAGGAGCAAATCATGACCTGACACTGACTTTGTGATGCTGCTCTGACGAATTGCTCTGAATGGGTCTGCTTAACAAGTGTGTGTCTCAACAAGAGGAAGGAGCGTAATTACAAGACAAACTCTAACTCTAAGGTAGGAGAATTGCACCTTGCTAAACCTCTGCCATAAAGAATTAAAAAGTAAGAAAAACAAAAAAACAAAGTCAAAGTTGTTGATACCAAGTGAATGATGTTGGTAACTAACTCAGAACATTGTTCATTTAATTGCTAGTTGTAAATGTTTTTTTTAATGAAATATTAAATGCATTACAGTTCCTACATAATAACCACACATCTATTTAACTGACAAGCAGAATTGCACAAAACACAAAAAAGCTTGCAAATTACACATGCACACACCCGGGTTTGGCACTGCTCTGTAGGGTCTGAAGCCGTGTCTTCACCAGATCCAAAGGCTGAAAGAGCAGAGTCGAGCAGGTTCCACTGAGAGAGCCACACATGAAGGCTTTAAGAGCCGGGTGAGCCTGGGGACAGGAGAATGAAAGACATATTAAAATAAGAAAAGTCACAAGTTAAAAGGGACAGAGAGATGAGGAGTGGGGAGGTGACAAAGAAGTAAGGAAAGTAAGTAAAAATGAAAAGAAATGAAGCATTCAACAGTTTCTCAATATTGGTCACCATAACACAATGTATATCACAACTGACTGAAATGTATCCCAAAACATGAAAATATCTAATAAACACACTTGATGTTTGGTCAAGTTTATCACTAGGAAAATAAAATTACAAAACAGGGGACAGGCCAGTGGAGATGATGAAAATGCAGAGAGACAATCCCAAGGAACAAGTGCACTCGTGCATCTTGTGGACAGATGAGGGCAGACAGCCGTCACACGAGAGGATGAAAAAACATGTACAGGACCAAAACAATAAAGTCAACAATTGCAGCAAAAACAAATAAAATCTCATCAACTTAACCCTTAAATGCTTTCAGCTTTTTACAAAAACGCACATCGTTCTACCTTTACCAAGAGGCCTGGAGCTGGGTTCAGATTATTCTGTTTTTCCTGCATTTTTTCTTTCAGCTGTTATTTTTGTATTTCTGCTTTTATATTTAAAAAATGTTTATACAACAAGCTATTTCCTTCTCACTCTACTCCCATTCATCTCCCTTTCTTTTCTCTTCCCCTTCAAACCCACAATGGCTTCTTTTTACTCGAGTCCTTCCTCTCCTTGTTCTGCAGCCAAAGCAGAAGCCTAATCCAGACACTGTTTTTCTGTAGGTCTTTATTTTATTTTTATCTTTCACAAACACATGCACACATCCCTATTTCATGCCCCTCCTTCACTGCCAAATTACATCTTTGTCAAATGGCATGAGTCATCATCATGTAAGGTGGTGCACATAGTGTGTGTAAGAAGAAGGATGAGAGGGCTGAATATGGGTCACCAAATATGTCTGCTTACAAACATGTTACATTAAATCTTTACAGCAGTTTAAATGGAATTACTGTATATTAAAGGTGATGTTCACCTTTGAATTGGAAATGCAATGATTGCCTTTAACTGACTGTAGCAGCTCACCTTAGATAATCATAAAAAGCATTACAACTGTTGTGAAACTGCTCATATACTCATCATAGTTAGTTATCTCTAACTATTGTATTATTAGGGGGCAATGTTGCAAATCGTCATAGTTAGTTATCTCTGATTGTATTATTAGGGGGCAATGTTGCAAAATAAAAAGGCAGAGCGGACTTTAAAACTGAGATAGTTTTGAAGAATGTATACTGTCCGTGTCTTCAGAACACAACTTGAAGCTCTCTGTGTACTTTGGTGGACATGGGAATTCAAATCAAAACCAGTCATAACCAGTGTTTGGATCCCCAAACCCCATGTACTTTGTAATTAGTAAGCCCTAAAGCATTTTAGTGTATTAAATGTTTCAAATGCAAGAAAAGTGTTGGGAAAGTGTTGGAACTCAATTAGTACTGAACTATTGTAATATGTAAACATGAATGGTACTGTATGACGTAATGCTGGTTACTGTCGAACCTGAATGACCAGGTATACTTACCGAGGCTAACTCCATCTTTGGCTCGGCCGTGGAGTTGGAGGAGTCCAGTGGTTCCAGTTTCGCGCGGATGCAGTTCTAATGCTGGGTGATGTCCGCTAATATTACACAACGGAGGAAAACATTAGCCACGGGCTGTACGAAGAGTCTCATCCTGACAAGAAGCCGGTAGCGGCAGGCTAGTGTTGGACACATGTTACGCTGGCTGTTATCAGATAAAGTCATGACACCAGTCAGACCGAACAAGAAGCGACCAGGACTGTGGTTGATTAATGAAATTGTATTATTTTAAAAATTGAACACTAGCGCTGTTTCTTGAGCACATCACTTTCTGCTTGCTAGCTTTTAGGCTAACTTAGCATGGAGCTCGTCTTACCCGGTGTGCAGAGTGAGTTATGGATGTCGATGACAGACAGTCCTGCTCTCCTTCACAAACCCCATAGTTACATTCAGTGTCACAACTTCCTGCTGTAGTTGTACACGCTGTAGGTTTAAGTCAGTCAACACGCTGTCAAAGTCAACCTGAACACGGAACTAAAAGTAGTCTAGTAACTATGTCCTTAGTGAAAAAATTGAATATAAGAACTACTTAATTAGCGACTATTTTTTCCTTCAATTTAATGTACAAAACAACGCCAATATTAACCGCATTTCACTGTTTCTACCGTCCTCTCTGCGCTCCTACTGCGACAGTTAGTGTCACACCTCCCCATGGGTTGCCAGATCACGTGTAAACCAGCTAAACAATAAAGTGAAAATTGACACTGCCAAGCTAGTTTTTAAATTGCAAAAGACATCTTTTCATGTTATTATTCCATCAACATATCTAATAAATGTTTAATGTGGCCAATCATCAAAAGTAGTTTACTATTAGTTACGCAAATTACCTAAGTTTATCACATTAGGTTTCCTTGTATTAAATATACTGTATGCAGGAATTTACCTACAGTAGCTGCGGTACTGTGCTAACCTCGTAAAGTGACAATTTTGATTATTGTTTTATAAAACGGTTCTGTCTACGTCTAACGCTCTTTCCGCGCTATTTCCCACCGTCTGCCAACATACTGTGACGTCAACTATGTATATTCTGTGCTTAATAATCTGGAACCTTGGAGGTTTTGAACTAAAGGTCTGAATATGCTAGTTTCACAATAGTAAAAAAATAAATAAAATAAAGCAACAAAACCATGCACGAGAACCAGGAAGTATGTTCACGTATTCAACTCTTTTTTAAAAAACCTCTACAGCTACAATGAATATGCTTTATTTTCATTTTACAAAAACAAAACAAAACTCAATACCACCTAGAAAGTCAGGTTTACAAGAAATAATAGGATGGGTGTATTTGCAATAGAATGCCTGGCAGTAGCCGGATGGATAATAATATTAATAATAAAAGTGAGTTAATACTTGTAGATGTCAAAGCTCCTGACCACACCAGACCCTCAGTGGTGCATCATTTCCCAAATATAAAGTTCAACACTTTTCTTTGAATGGTTATTGTGGAAATACATGGTTTTGTTGAGAAATAATTATGGGACATGCAGCTGCCAATGGCTCTAGTGTTTCAGGTGGTTAATTATAATACTGTAACACAAACTGTGAACACTTGGCTTAGCTTGGTAGCCATTATCAACGTAGAAGTACAAAGTGGATAATGATATGAAGCTCAGCAAGATTACAACACAAAAAATGGGGATTATAATAAAAGGTACCAGTTTTATCCCATTAGGTGTTACTCCCACATCTGCAACAAAATCTTTGCCACCTCATTCACATTTGAGAAGGGCAGAGTGAGTCACAAACGACCAGCTTCATCTGTGCATGAAATAAAAGGAAAAATAACAATAAAGGCAGAAATGAAAGATAATAGTACCTTGCTGTCTTTCCCCCCTTCTACACTGTAGTGGTATAATTAGGTCAATTGGCTGTAGTTTCTTTCAAAAAAGAAGGAAATTTAATCTTACACAAAAAAACCCAAACACTTTACCTTAAAAAACGGTGGCAAAACCATCTCTGACATCTTTCATTTTGTCCTTTTACAATTAGAATATTGTTTTATTTCTGAAACACATTGTATTAATGTGTAACCACTTACACCATAAACCATGCATGAAAGGCAAATGATCAAAAAAGCAGGAAACTGCTTTGACTTATTTAAACTTAAAGTCTAAAGTTCCATGTGCTGATGAACTGCCAGTGCAAGTAGAGCTAGTGAGATATTCTTACCTGTTTCCTAATCCAGGTAACCTGCAAGAACGTAATTCAACATGACCACAGATGAATAAAGATTAAATGACACTTCACTTTCTTTCATGTTGCAAAAAAAAAGAGAAAACAAAACTTAAACAAAAATACTTCTGTTTGTTTGAAAAACAGAAAAATCACAGCCGCATTAAAGAGTATTTAATAGTAAAATTTGTGCTGAAAGATGGAAGTTTGGATCCTTATGTTTTATGTATTTGACAACTACAAAAACCTACGGACCACAGTAAGTGCTAAATGACTTGTAAAATTCAGAGATAGATAATTCACTTTAAGAAAAGAAAAGATAGTAATAATACTAAATAATTTAACTGAGCAAATATGGACTAAGTACCAGTTGAGTGCTTCCAGTAAGAGCTTTTCACATGTTGGTTTCCAGTTAAAAAGAGAATAAATCATTATTCTGTGCAGTTCTGTTCATTTTTCCACACCTTTGTGCCATTCTTTCATTAAAATGTCTAGCTGTGGTCATCAATACAATCCAGTTAACAAATCCAGTTGCTTTTGGTTGAAAGACATGGAAAACCAAGATCTGGATGAATTAGAATCTACAAAGACATCTTGGTAGATCTCACAGGTGGGGATATTTTGTTTTGTCCTCAGCGAGACATTCGTTCAATAATAAATGAGATGAAAAAACACAAATAAAAATACTGGGTTTTTTTTCTTCACAGTAATACATTTGGCTTTAGTTTGTGTTTGTTGTGTTATTGCATGTCCAAAGATGTCAGATGTTGTTGTAGTGTAGTCTGTGCATCAGAGGGAGACTCATGCAACTAAAGCAGCAGGCATGACGGTGCAGAGGCCACCGTCAACTTGACCCCAGATTTCTCCTTAGAAAGAGGTTATGTGTAGGGCGGAGGGGGGAAGGGGTGAGATGGCTTTAATAACTGCAGAGCAGAACACCTAGAGTCAACAAGAGTCAAACAAGTCCTGGTGGTGCTTTAGAGGGGAAGCGTGTTTTCAAATGTTACCTACAGCCTCTGCCTTCTTTGCACAAAAATTCACATAGAGGAAAAGCACTTTGTACCTATGCATACTCCTCAAGAAGTTGAGCAGATATAACTTCAGGCCTGATCAGATAGGACAGGGCGGTTATACATTAAAAAAGGACTAGCAGCGTGCTGAATAATAACAGAGTGAGGCAGCTCTGTCTGTTTGCCCTGCCAGGCCTGAAGGCTTCTCATCAGGGCAGGGTGGTTGGATTTCCTCTGCTATAATGATTTAGAGAAAACCAAAACTTTAACTAAAACATTGCTCCAATCTTCCAGTTTAGTCTTAAGTTTGAGATGAAGTCACGCGGTGCCAACTGTGATGACCTCTTGGGGGAAACTGAGTGCAGTTCACGGGCAGAGCGGTTAGAGGGGAGACTGAGAGGGTGGAAGAGGGAAGAAGAAAACGGGAAAGCGAGGAAGGAGCATCAATGCGTTCACTCGGCGATGGAGTTCTGTGTCTCGTTACAGTCGCTGGTGCGACTATCTGCGTCATCATCCGACATGTCCACAGAGGCGCCGTCCAGGTTGAGGTTACGGCGGCCAGAACGACTGGAAGAAAAGCCACTGACGGGGGCTCCACGCCTGCTCAAGAGGAATAAAGTAAACCACACACACAGAAAACAACATTAAATCACTTCTGCAGAAAATGGTAGTTTGAAAATTTGTGCTTATTTATTTGAAAATATATTGTGTAGATCTGTAAATCAGTAGAGACTAACTAGAAATCAGACATTTCTAGTTTGTCAGTTTCCTCCTCTCACCTGAGACGGTTCTTCAGTGAGTTCACCTCCCGTGTCAGGCCCTCGCTGGCTTCAGTGGCATCGTCCAGCTCCCTCTGCAGCTTCCTGCGGGAGGCGTTTGACCTGGTGGCCTCCTCCTCTGCCTCCTCCAATTGACGCTTCAACTGTTTCAAACGTGTATTGGCTTTCTCCAACTGACAGGAACACAAACAGTGGAGATGAGAGAGGGAGACAGTGAGAGAATCTCCAGATGCCGTGGAAACCTTTCATTGCAAGTCATCTCACTCGTCATTAAAATTGTACCTGCTCCTTGTACTGGTCTGCATGTCGGCGCTCATCCTCCACCTGCATCATCACCTCCTTCAGTTTCTTCTCTGTGCGACGGACGATTTTGTTGGCTGCAGCTCTTTACCTGGAGGTTTAAATCAGAGCTGAGTAAATGATATTCCTAACGTCTCAAAATCAGTTGAACAATAGGCTGGAGCCGCATCGGCAGCTGAAGTCATGAACCAGCTAATACATGGGGCTTCCACTGTGTAGAAAGACACAGTGTTGAGTAAACAAAATCATGTTTGGTCAAAATAAGTTTTCATTGAAAACAGTGAAAACAGCCACTTATAACAGACTATATATATAAATAGAACTTCCTCCACTGGTTATTTTCTTGTAGAACAGAAAACCTAAACATATTATAGTATTCATTTTCTTTATAATATAATATTTGACACATACTTGACTTCTTGCTCCAGCTGCTCCTCCATCTGTAGAATCTTTGCCTCCTGAGCAGCGATAGAAGCTTTAAACTTTGACTTGACAGCACCTTCCAGCTCTGCCAGTTTAGCCTTTAAATCCTGCAACAAATAAATTGTTAAGAAAACATGTCGTTTTCAGTTTTAAAAGACGTACAAACTACAGTATATAATACCTTGTTCTGTCGTTCCATTTGTTGTCGAGCGTTCTCGCTCTTTTGAGCAGTGCTGCGCTCTCCAGACAACTCTGTGGTCAGGCCTTCAACCTGACAGAGGAGGAGTTGGAAAGGAAGTCATGATGATGGATAGGAATTTCCCATTAGAAGAGTTGTTACTACATTAAAATCAACTTGTGTCAGTGTTGTGTATAGTCTCTCTACCTGCAGGGTTGTTTTCCTCAAACGGTCGTTGATCATCTCCATGTTGCCTTGCTCCTCCTCCAGCTCCTCCTCCAGCTGACTGATGCGGGCCTCCAGCCTCCTCTTCTCCTCCAGCAGTGATGACCTGACACAGGTGGAAAATTATCTTATTAAGACCACAAAAAGAGCAATCGTACTTAGGTTTGAAGGTTGACAGTAAATTTGAAGGTAAAGGATAAGGTTTGGTACTAACTTTCCGGAAACACTGTTGGAGATCTCATCAGCGAGCTCATCCCTCTCCTGCTCTGCATGTCGCCTGGCTCTCTCTGACGCTGCATGATCCTACACACACACATACAGTATGGTAATTAAGCCCACCATTTCCTTATTTGAAAAACATGTATCTGCAGTCTTATTTGCATCACTCAAACTACTGTAAAAATAGCATCCTGACCTCCTGTAGCTGTAAGATTTCAGCTTCCAGACTTTTGAGTTTCTTTTCGTTCTCCTTTGACTGCGTGAAGATCTCGTCCCTGGAAGCTCTGGCTTCCTCCAGCTCCCGCTGATAGTCCTTCATCTGAGCCTACAGGGAAACAGACACAATGACAAATGACCCCAAGAGGAAACAAGGAAAAGGCAGAAACAATGTTTCAATGCAGTTATTCTGTGGAATAGTTTTGGTTTTTGAGGCCTGTACCTGGAGTTTCTTGAGCTGTTTGACAGCCTCGTCCCTGCCCTTGGTGGCAGCTTCAATCTGTCCCTCCAGCTCGTTCAGGTCCATCTCCAGCTTCTTCTTGGCTGCAATAGACATAGCTCTCTGCTTCCTTTCATCCTCCAACTCAGCCTCCATCTCACGGACCTGGAAAACAAATCAAATGAATTCAAATTTATAGCATACAGATAGTCATGTTACTGCAAAATGTAAGTGTTTTTCAGTATGCAGTATTTAGAAGGAAAAATGTATTCCTTTTTTTTTGTTTTCTAGCTGGGTGGTCTGTCTACCTGTTTGACCAGCGCCCTCTTCTTCTCCTCTCCTTGTTCATCTCTGGCCTGCACATCTCTGTCAAACTGAGCCTTCATGGCCTGCATGTTGACCTCCAGCCGCAGTTTTCCATCTTCTGTGGCCTGCAGCTCGTCCTCCAGCTCTTCCAGCTGTGTCCTCATCTCCTCCACCTGCTGCTCCAGCATACGCTTGGATTTCTCCAGTTCATGGACCTGCAAAAAAAAAACCAAAACAAAATCAAAACTTGGAAAGAGCACGAAAACACATATAATTAGAAAAACAATCACAGATGTTACTTACGTTCTTTCCTACGTCATCCTTGGAGCTCATCAGGTCCTCCATTTCAACCCGCAGCTGCTTATTAAACCGCTCCAGCTCCTCTTTAGCCTCCAGCGCCTCCTCCAGAGCTCTGGCCATGGACAGAGCCTTGGTGTCCTTCTCTCTGGCCTCAGCCTCCGCACGGTCACGCTCTTCAGCATAGCGAGCAGAGATGGTCTTCTCCTCAGCCAGCATCTAGAACAAACAGTGGTCTTTAGTCCACCGAATCACTCCATTTTTTCCTTAAACATTTAGTTGCTTCAGTTTACCTGATCAAACTTCTTTTGCTTCTTCTCCAGGTTGGAGACAATCTGTCTCTGGTGGTCCAGATCCACCATCAGGTCATCCAGCTCCTGCTGCAGTCTGTTCTTTGTCTTCTCCATCTTGTCCATCGACATGGTCTTCTCCTCCAGACGCTGGCTGGTTAACTCCATGTCCTTCTGAAGTTTTCTCTTGGCCTCCTCCAAACCTTCCATCGCTCCAACATCGTCCTCAAGTTTCTTCTTTGCCTCAAACAGCTATTTAAAAAAAGTTGAAAATTAAGGGATTAATTGTGGTTAAATTAATTTGTGTAATAAATCATTTTGATGCATGGCCCAAATGACACACAATTCCTTTGTCTTTGCTCCAATATATAATTGATGCAAACATTGTAATTTGCCCC